TACATTTAGTCCTTATTTACACTTTCAGTTTCTCACACCAGAGAAACTATTCAGTATTTATACATGTGTGTCCTATTTATTTCACTTAAGAGTATTGTGAGACCTTTTCTGCTGCTATTGAGATTTTTAACCTTCATTTTGTTGATGTGATGTTACATTTATTGGTTTGGAAATGTTGCACTATTCTTGCATCCCTGGGATAAATATCACTGGATCATTATATATAATTTTTTTGATGTGCTGCTGGATTCAATTTGCTACTATTTTGTTGAGAAAATTTTGCATTTATGTAATACAGGTCTATAGCAGTGGTGGTGAATCTATGGCATGCATGTTGCAGCGGGCTGTTTGTATCACTGAAGGCTCTAAAAGGTTCGCCATCACTGGTCCATAGTTATTTATTTTTCTGTGGCGTATCTGTCCAGCTTTGGTATCAAGGTAATGCTGCTCTAATAGAACAAGTTTGGAAGGGTTTCTTCCTTTATTGATATCTTTGAGTAGTTAGAGAAGAATTGATGTTTGATGTCTGTTATTTTTCCTTACTCCTTAATACAGTAATGACTCAGTTCACAGACAGTTTGTGAACAGAAGTGCTTGGCAAAATTTTGCCTCCATTCTCAAACTCTGGAACAGGTGATGAAATTGTCACAGCCATCTTCCCCAGAATTGTGGAATGAATTAAGTTTGTGAACAGAGGCACCACTGTACTTCTAGAAAAAGGATATTCTCATATTTTGTGCAGTATAGTTTTCAAATTCAAAAATTCAATGCTAATTCAATATTTTTATATAACCTACAATTCACATTCCCTTTTGTCAATGATCTCAATAATGTCCTTTATAGAATTTTTCTCTGTAGCACAGGATCTAGTGCAGAATCACATTTGATATAGCTGTCCCATCACTTTAGTCTTTTAAAAATCTGAGACAGTTCCCCAAACTTCTTTCCTCTTTTTTTTTTTTTGGTACCGGGGATGGAACTCGGGTCCTTGCTCTTTCAAGGCAGGCGGCAGAACCACTGAGCTAAACCCCCAGGGCCCTTCTTTCCCCTTCTTTCCTCTTTTATGATATTGGCATCTTTCTGAGAATACAAACCAGTTATTTTATGAATATTAGACTGTTTCTCAGCTTGTTTTTTTCTCATGATCAGCTCCAGTTTATCGCATCCATGATGTATTTTAATTTTAGTTTGATCATGTAGTTAAGATAATGTCTGTTTTTGCCCTGCTGTTATTATTGCCCTTACAATTCACAAGCACTTTGAAACCATACAAGTATCCTTTTCTTTATCAAACTTTACCTTCTACCTACAGAAATTATTCTTGCCTAACCCAATTTTTATGGAACTATAGTAAAGTGATGATTTCCCAATTCTACCACTTCCTAGCCTTCCCTTTCTTCTGTAAGAGAGAAGTATCTCCCTTTTCCTTCATTTGTTCATTGTAAATATAGATTTATGGATTTCTATTTTGGTCAGCACATTATAATTCCATTACCATCATTATTCTGATGCCCAAATTTAATCAACAGGTACCCTTTAAAACAGTTCCTCTCTCTTTTTGATATGTTCTCAGCATTTTTTAGTCCTTCCTTCCTTCCTGATATATAGCATCACTTTTAATAGTTGAAAAAATTTCCATTATATTAATATCTATGTATCACAATGCATTTATTTTCTTACTGTCAGAATTTTAAATTATAAGTTAAAATGGCATGCAAGTTTTAAAATGGCATTATGTATTTCTAGAAGTGTATTTGTTAATTTTCTTCCCCAAATTTTCCACATATTTAAATGCAGCAGTGTGTAAGAATGCCTATTTTGTCATTCCCTTAGGGCTATATTCATTCTGTGGTTTCTAGGTCTGCAATATCAGCATTACTGGGGAAGCCTGTTAGAAATACAAAATCTCAGCCCCATCCCAGACCTACTGAGTCAGAATCTGCACGTTAGCAAATTCTCAGGTTAACTCAAAGGCACATAAAAGTCTGAGAATCAATATCCTAATGTAATTTATACAGAAATTGGTCCTAAATCCAGACAAGGTAAGTTCAGGAAGCCACACTGGCACTTATTAGTAAAAAGTAAAAAGGGACAAAGAAGCAAAATTGGTTTGGAGAAAAGTGCTTACATATTAGGATGCGTGCATGTAGCTAGCCTAAATAAGGCTCTCTGGGGGACAGAAAAATGTACATTAACGTAGAGTATTAACATGTTTCCCTGCAGAAGACAAGAGATGTTATTCTCTCCAGTGTCAGACTTCACACACTCTATAAACACACCCTATGTGCTAGCCAATTAAGAAAACCTTGAATTACAATCCTTGCAAATGATGTTACCATGCATACTTCCAAACCCATTCCCTACTGCTCTGTAGAAACTGATAATATGCCCAAAGAATCAGCACTTCAACAAGCACACCAGGTGATTCTGATACCCTGAAATTTGGGAACGATTATATCACTATACTTCCTAGTAGATAACTGAAATATATCGTTTAAATAATGTTTTACTTGTTTTAGAAGAATATTCTTATTTTTATTAAAGGCCTTCAGCCATAGTTGTTACTGTTAGTCAATTAAATAAGTTGGCCAAGTGATAATGATAATCCTGTTTGAACTATATTTCATACTTTCATTACCTTTTGGGCTAATCTAAATTTTTGAACCAATCCTAATTCCTTTCAAATGGTTAATCAAAACTTTTTCTATTCTGTCAATATGATTTGGTGAAAAAAATTTACATTGTGGCCTGGTGTGGTGGTACATGCCTATAATCTCAGCACTTAGGAGGCTGAGGCAGGAGGATCAATTCGAGTGTGAGGGCAGCCTAGGCTGTGTAGTGAGTTCAAGGCCAGACTGGACTACATAGCAAGACCTTGTCTCCAAAAAAAATACATTTTTAAATTCATATTGTGGAAAAGAAAATATGTAATGTTAAAACTTATTACTCTTATATGAATACATAGATCAAATATATTATAGAAGTTATATTAAAATGATTTCATTTTTAAAATATAAATAACTTTTTTATATAGGGAGAGCAAAGAAAAAGGAAGAAACTCATATAAAAGGTACTTTGTCTCAATAATGTGTTAGAACAAATCCTAATCACTGTATAGTCTTAAAGTATCAAAAGGCTAAGTGTTTTAAAGTATTTTAAATGTCATGAAAATTCAAGGGAAATGTTAATTTATTATGTGAGTAGGCACATAATTTTGGGAAAAGCAAAATTATCAATTTCATATCCTAAAATTTGAAACTTTAATTTTTCTTTCCAATTTGAGCTCAAAAGTATCATCTATGATGCCTGAGGGTAAAAATGAAGTTTGAGGGCTTTGAGGGGTAGGGACAGAGGTCAGAACAAGAATGAAACAAAAACAAAAAGTGAGTTTTTTGAAACACTTTATATATTGCATGTTTTATCTTAGTACCTCAAAACATCACCTCCTAAGAGCATTGTTGCACGCCAGTAATCCCAGTAGTTGGAGGCTGAGGCAGGAAGATCTATCTCCATAGGTTCGAGGCCAGCTTGGGCTACATAGTGAGTTCAAGGCCAGCCTGAATTACAGTGAGACCTTGTCTCAAAAAAATAAAAATAAAAAAGTAAAAAAAGAATTGCTGAATATAAAATATTTATGGCAACTTTAAAATTAATGGACAATATCAAAATTAACGTGCAAAATATTATAAAATATATTTAGGATATTATGTGATATTTTCTAAAACATCATTTTTTACTCGTCAGTGTGTAGCCCAACTGATATAATGGCAAACACATGAGAAGGGTAATGAACGTCGGGCCAGGTGTGGTGGCTCACGCCTGTAGTCCCAGCACTTGGGAGCCTGAGGCAAGAGGATCCCCAAGAGTTCAAGGCCAGCCTGGGCTACATGGGGAGCTCAAGGCCAGCCTGAACTACATAGCAAGAACCTGTCTCAAAAAAAAATTAACAACAAGATAAATTAAATATAGAAGTGTGTCGAATGCTTTGTATTTAAGTTGTAAGACTCTTGAGGAATGTTGTTACTATTGATACAGGGTCCACTCATAGTCCCTTCCGCTGCGGGCCATTTTGTAATCTACCTGCTCAAGGAAGCTTGTATTTTTAAAATTGGTTTTATTAAATAAGGCAATAATTAGCCATAATCACTAAGAAATAATTTTGCATAACATTCCAGAACTAATCTAGAATCTTTGCCTATTATGACAGATTGACTCATTTAGAGTGTACTTTCCTACTCTTGTTTTTGTTTTTGTTTTTTGTTTTTTTGAGACACAGTCCTGCTATGCAATTCAGACTGGCCTTGAACTTACTATGTAACCCAGGTTGATCTCAAATTCATGCCAATCCTCCTGCCTCAGCCTCCGAAGTGCTGGGATTACAGGCATGATCCACCACGCCTGGCTTCAACTCTTGATTATCATGAAAATATTGCTAACTCCTAATTATGTATTTAACATTGAATGGATAATGATAGCAATTCAGAATTTTCCCTTATGGAACTACCCTGTCCAATATAGCCCTAAAAGTAGTCTGAATTTTAAAAAGAAACATTGCCCTGATAATTAAGATTTGCCTCATAAATGTGTAATATTTATAGTACCTCTATTTTTCACAGCAATTAAAGATGAATTCTGTCCTCTGACAAAAAAGCTCGTCTGTGACTTCCCAGAGATTAGCTCGTCAACAAACAGCAGCAGCATTCCCTTAAACTTACCATCGTCACCATCAGATTCTCATTACAGCCGAAGTATACAAGCAGCTGATGAATGGTTTTTTGATGATTCTCTAGCAGAAAATAATTCTCCAAAGCCATTCCTTGGGGAACCCCTAATGGAAAAAGTATTTTCGTACCTGTCAACCATTCCATCAGAAGAATGCACTTAAAATGTAATGAATATGACAATTTTTGATGATCAAAATGTTGACAGCGTTAAGGAAATGTTTTCATGAAGAAACACTCAAGTTGAAATACAAAACCTTCAACATAACATTGAATGACTTTTTTTCTTTTGAATCCTTGTATACCCTGAAATCTGGTAAAGTTAAAACTGAATTACCAGCTTCTGACTCTCCTAACGTTCCTGTGCTAATTTTGCTTTTCTTGTGCTTTATCATAGAGTGGGCCTGCTTCCCTTGCTGGCTCTTATCTCTAGAAATAAAACTATGGGAAGAATTATAGTAGTATCATGGATATTAACTTTAACTCCTTGTACCTCACAAAAGATAAATAACATGATTGTATTTTCAACATGCACAAGAAATACTTCAAGAAATCTTTATGAATATATTTTAATAAAACATTAACTGTGTAACACTATATTTTGTTATACTTTGGTCATACCAATTTTATTTCAAAGTGAGTAGATGTGGATGGAATTCCTATAAGCTTTTCTGAATTTAAAAAACACAAATCACCTATCTTTCAAATCTTATCATGTCATGATTTTGGTAAGCAAGATAAATTTGCTCCTACAAAGGACACTGGAACAATGTGAAGAACCCAGAAAGTAATTTCCTTTCCCCTGTCCTTTCTCTGTTTCTCAGAATGTCCCCCAACCCTCACCCTTCTGGGATAAAAATGACTCCTAATCACCTGACTCAAGCGAGGTGAGTTAGAGTTCCTTTTTTTGGTATGAGAGGCCTTTGGTCAAAAATTTATGGTTATGAGGGATTTCTGAACCCGTCATGCAATCTTTTTTTTCCTAAATACTCTCCATGTAATCAATCTTTTTATTTTGCTTTCCTTAGGAAAAAAGATTGATTAATATTAATTATAATACTACCTTTTATGCTTAAATGATAAGACCTATTCATAACTTCCCAAGGGATAAATCGTATCTGTTACAATAAATGCAAAAAAAAAAGCCAAAAAGCTTGTCTCAAATAAGGTACTAAATAACATTATCCAGGTCTATCATTTCTGTCCCAGAAATAGTAAAGGAGTTGGAACACCTTTCTCTTTTCATGCACTTGGCCATTTCCACAGAGTGTGTGGTGGATTCTGAGCATATCTCTCTGTCCACCCCCAGATCTTTGTAAGCTGTTCCATAAAGAGCAGTAAAAACAAAACCTTCAGTTGGTCTCTGGCTCTTAGAGTCCTGAAACTTATGCCATCCTGGTATCTTAGGAAAGGAGTTATAGCTAATGATGGTAAACTCCTAAGACTTCTCTAGGGTTGGAAATATGAGATTCTAATGTCTGTCTGACTAGACTCTGGAATAGAAGAAACAGGGAGCTGTGAGTTGCCATGTCCTACCATGCAGCTTGGGAGGTAAAAGCAGCAAATCTGCAAAAAGAGAACAGTGAAGCATTTTCAAATTGAAAAGCAGAGATGAGAGATCAGGAGGATATGGTCCCTGGCTTTCTAACAGTGTCCCATCCCCCTGCTTTAAGATTTCATAAAGCCTGGCCATCACCCCTGCCCCCGGCTTGGTAGGGTATCCTTGTGTCCTAATCGTAAACTCCTTTTTTTCCTTAATCTCACATGATGTGATTTCTGTTATTGGCTACCAACCCTAAGGCCTGGATTTAACTGTCATTCTTGGCTTTTATACACTTCTGTAATTTTATAATAAATTCTCCTTTTTGCATAAACTAGAATTTTGCTTCTTTTACTACATTCAAAACATCCAACCAAATTCTTGTCAAAAGTTCAAATGAAAAATAAAGATATTTATGGATATAAAGTACTTGTTATACTGTAATGATATAAGTTAACTTCTTAAAAACCTAACACATTCACTTGTTTATTAAAATGTTATTCCATGTCATAGACATGTACATTATTCTATTTGAAAAGCCTACTGAACAGTACTTTCACCAACTCAAATTACACCAGTCAAAAGTGATCTTATTTTCAAGAACTATGAAGGATCTGAGATTTCACCTTCTAGGCAAGCTGACAAGTTAGCCTGCAACAGTTTCATGGGTCAGGCTCTTAGGTCAGACACAAAGGACAACTAATTATTCATAGCAGTAGCCAAAGTACCATCATTTTATTCTGTTTCTGGAGTCCCAGTTCCCACAGGGTGATGTGGAAAGGACCATAAACAGTGAATTGCATTACAAACAGTGAAAAAAGAATTTAGGGACTCAAATATTTTATAATAGCAAGAAAAAAAAATAGACACACGTGCCTTTTGTACCAGAGGAAGCCACTATCACTGTCTTCCAAAGTCATTTGCTATGTAAACATCCGTGAAAAGATCATTTGGAGGGCCAGGAATTTAGCTCAGTGGCGCCATACCTTCCTTGCAAGTGCAAGGCCCTGAGTTCGAGGCCCCGTACCAGAAAAAAAAGAGAGAGATCATGTGGAAAATAAGAAATCTGTGTCTCAGCTTATAGACACGCTGAAATGAAACATACTAACATTGCCATAAGGAATTAGTTATAATTCATTTGCTTACAAATACTTGAAAACCAAAACAGGTTAGCTTAGAAAAAATATTTTCTCCAAATAATGACTTAATGACTAAATGTAGGAAGCATAAGTTCTAAAAGGTGAAACAAGCTCAAAAACCCCAGGACTTTCCCTATTTGTATCAGCAAAGGTTCAGTGAGAGAGAAACCATTTTCAAATTCAGGGTAAGGGATTTATTCTAGGACTTGTTGTATCATGCACAGGTTAAGGAGAGAATTGAAGAATCAGAGGAGTCACCTGTTAATCTAAGACGCCACCTTGTCCACCTGCCACAATGAGATGGGAGAAAGTTGTGTGGGAATGTGTATGGGAAGCTTTGCTTCTCAGTAGAAACTGCCTTTGAAAATATACTGCCAAGCATCTTGTGTGCCAATAGGGCCAGCAACTGGGAAGAACTGGACATGCAATAGAGGTGGGAACAAGTTGGGACCGACTGTCCTCTCTCTGAGGTCTGTCAACACATTTAAGCATAACAGCCTTCACAGAGTAATGGCTTCTGCTTAAATTCCACCTGCCAGCTATTGTATAAATTTCTCTTTGGGCCAACTTTAACCTAGAATCATGCCAACACAAACAGTGGATTGCATTACAAACCGTGAGGAAAGAATTTAGGGAACCAAAATTTAGGTTTATGGGAAATATGATTATAGTTTAACCAAGTTAACTCAGTAAAAACTACCACAGACTACTAGTCATGGATTTGGCATTCACTTATCTGTTAATGATATTTAAAACCTTCAAATAAAATAGCAGAGTGATTTCAGCAAGACAGAAAAATAAGATATCCCTCATAGTCCTCACCAACAACGATTTTGCAGTTATCCATGAACAGAGGGACTTTTGGGAGATTTGCAATTCAGGCAGGAAGTTGTGAAATCCTGGTGTAGACCAAGACCTAGAAGGGCAGTACTACACCCAGGTGGCAGATTTGCCAACCATGGCCTGGTTGTAGATCTGGAAATGGCCTGACCCCCTATAGACAGCTGTTGGTCCTCCTCCTGAACACCCAGAGACCTTGGAGGAGTCACCCTCGCTCATACCTTGGGTGACAGACTCACTGATGTTGATTCTGGAAGTGTACTCAGAAATAGCTCTGAAATTGATGCTAGCCCCACTCAGCATCAGTCAGAGACCAGTTCTATCAGTGGAATAGGGTGCCAAAGAGCCATGGCTACCTGAGTTTACAGGGCAAGACTGCCAATCTTAGTCCTACAGCAGGCCCTAAGAAAGTTCTAAGGCTTGATTCCAGCCTCTCCCAGCAATAATCAGAGATCTATCCTGCTGGTGGCACAAGGACCAAAGGGAGACAGAGCCAAGTCTCAGAAGTGGGTTTACTGAGCTCAGTTCTGGCTGTGGATCCTGAAACAGCTTTGTTACCTAATTCCATCCTCTCTCAGCCATGGGCCAGGGCAGTATAGTTTGCCCAGGGACCCACCTAGTGACCCAAAAGGAACCTCCCAGGAACCCAGAGGAAACAACAGCTGTTTGCATAGCCACTCTCTGTGAACCCTGACATTGGCCTTTATCCCAGCACCATCACTATGGACCAAGGTCCTGGAGACAGTCCAGTCTACTCAGGGACAAGTAGGGCCCATGCCCACAAAAGCCCCTGGTAACAGGCCTGCCTGCCACTTAGATACAGTGCCAGGTATGTGAGCCAGCTTCAACCCTATTCAACCATGATCCAAGAGGCAGTCCATCAACCTGCTGAAACCAGTCTGTAAAGACTGATAGTGATTCTTCTTCCTTCAAGTGCACAGACACCATCACAAGCCTATGAGGGCAATGAAGAATCAGGCAAACATTAAGCCATCAAAGAATACTAAAAATCTCCAGCAACTGAACCCAAAAAGGAGATTTACGAATTGCATGAAAGAGAATTTTCACCATCTTACAGAAGCTCAATGAGGCGCAAAACACTCACATAGACAACTAAGTGAGATTAGAAAAAATATGTGGACAAAATTAAAAGCTTAAAAAAAATTAAAAGCTTAAAAATAAAAATAGAAAAATAAAATAAATAAATAAAAATAGAAACTATAAAAAAGGAACCAAATAGAAATCCTAATGCTAAAGAATACAATGATAGATCTGAAAAATTCAGTAAAGTTTGAATGGCAGCATCAATCATGCAGAAGCGTTAGCAAATTCAAAGATGGGTCATTCAAAATTAGCTAAAGGAACAAAAAGTAAAAACAATGAAAGGATAAGGAACCTACAGAACACCAACAAGCATGTGAATATGTGAATTACAGGGAAGCCAAGAAGAATGAGAAACTGTTAGAAAGTTTATTTAAAGAAATACTGTCTGACTAGCTATGTGGGAGACTAAGCAGGAGAGCCATAAGTTCAAGTTCAGCCTGGACAACTTAGTAAAACCCTATCTCAGAATTTTTTAGAAAGAATTGGGGATGTAGCTCAGTATTACAGTGCTTCCCTGGATGCATAAGGCTCTGGGTTCAATATTGGGGGGGGGGGGGACAGTCTGAAAAATTCTCAAACCCCGGGAGAAATGTGTCAAAAGTTCCCATTCAAGATCAAATCAAAAATTACTTCAAGGTATATTGTACTCAAAGTGTTAAAAGTCAGAGACAAAGAAAACAGCTCAAAAGCATCAAAAGACAAACTTAGAGCATATGTAAAACTAACAGACCTCAACAGAAACTTCAAGCCAAGAGGGAGTGAGATGATATAGTCCATGTGCTGAAAGAAAAAACTCTCCACCAAGAAAACTACATTTAGCAAAGTTATCTTTCAGAAATGAAGGAGATAAAAAAAAAATTCTCCCAGGCAAATGAGAGCTGAAGGAGTTCATCACTGCTAGGCCTGCCTTATAAGAACTGCTAGTTCTTTAAGTTGAAATGAAGAATGCTATTTAACAACATGAAAATA